CTCTTAGATGGAGTTGGTTTTTGTTTTTGCTTTTGGTCTTGTCTCCTTGAATGCCTGGTAATTTTTATTAAATGCTGAACACTGCGTATCTGAAAATTTATAGAGACTCCGGAAGATGACATCTTCCCCCAAAAGAAAAGTTACTTTTCTTTTAGCAGGTAGTCATAGTAGAGGCAAATCACTTTGATCCAATAGGGGATTAAGACGATTCAAGGCAGGATCTATTCAGTTTGCTCTCACTCAAGAAGTAACTCTTCAGGGGCCTCAGTTAAAAGCCGTGTGTGTTTACCAAGGCCTCTCATCCTTGATGGGCCATAAACTCCAGTATTTGCCTCCCTAGTACTGGAAGATTGCCAAAAAACGCTCCTTCATTTCTTGCCTTCTTAGCCACTGCTTTCTGCTTGGCTTCTCTGCCTCCCATTCCACCCAGCTTAGGTGTCAGCATATACCTCAAAGGTAGTGACTGTCAACAGTATTAAGCTCTCTTCATTGTGGTTCTCATATCTCTAGGATCTTTGCTTGGATCCTGCCTACCTTAGTAGCCCTAAACTCCAGTTTTTGTCTCCCCAGCCCAATGTGACCGGAAAACTCTAAGCTGTTATTTTTCCCCTCTGTGCTTATAAAATGGCAAATATCTTGCAAGGAAAAGTGGTAGAAATCAGACTTAACTCAGTCCATTTCTCATATCTCTGGGATCTTGGGACCTCAAGCCCTTGTCCTCCGATGCCTTAATGTTTTGTAGCCTTTATTTTTTATTATGATAGTGAGATCGAACCACAAATACAAACAATAGCTGGGAGGCAAATTCAGTTAGAGTTTAATACATGTTAGGAAAAAATGGCTTATTTTCATTTTCTCCAATATTGGAGAAAAATGCAACTTTAAACCATATTAAATGGAAGAATTCAGATTAATTAAAGAGAAATATGAAAGGCAAAATTTCAAGCCAATAGCTTAAAATGTAGGCAAACTTTAATATCTATTAGGGTTAGGGAAATAATTTTTACATTTAGAAAAATATTATTGGACAAACATATAAGAATATTTTTGTTCTACAAGACACCATAAATAAAGAAAACAGACAAATGAGAGATTAAGAAAAATTTACAGCATCTAAAGCAAACAACGAGCTAATACCTAGACTTTACAATGCACTCCAATAAATTAACAAGAAGAGAAAAAAAGAAAATCCAGTAGAAAAATGGGCAAGGATAAAAGATACGAATAGATGATTCTCAGGAACTCATATGCCCCATAATAGTGAACAACTATGAAATATCGTTTTCCATCCATCGGCTGGGCAAGACTTAGAAAGTTGGACAATGCCAAGTGTTAGCAAGAATTTGTGAAACTAGAACGCATAGGCACTTCCAGTGGGCCTTGGTATTAGCACTAGAATTGTGAAGAACAGTCTATTAGTACTTGGTCAAGTTCAGCTCACATCCACCCAATGATAGAAATTTTCCTCAAATATAAATATTTATTTTAAGAATATATGTATGTATCTATATGCACATATGTAGATATACAGAAATTATATATATGTTTTATTTAAATGGAAATGTTCATTGCAGCATTGTTTATGGTGGCTGAGAGATGAAGACTTCCTAAACGTTCATCACTGGAGTGATGCATAAATATGGTAAAGTGGCTGCACAGTATTGAATTCTAGCCACAAGCTAGACAACTATCCAGCAATGTGTATATATTTTAAAAAATCGTAGTGCAAAGTAGAAAAAAAGTTTAATAAGCAAAAAGAGATCTCATGTACAACACTATTCAAGTAAATTAAAACATCACACATAAAACAACATAGTGTCATGTATAAGGAGACGTGTTTAATACATTAGAGTCTTTGTCTAGGGTGGGGTAGATAATGAGGGTAAACAAGAGATTTTAAAAATCTTGTTGAAAGAAGCTAATCGCTCAATTATAGATTTCCTCCCGCCTCCCTCCTTCCCAGTTCCTCTCTTCCTTCATCCCTTCCTTTCTCCCATCCTCCAACAGATGTTGATCAGATGGCAAGATCCTGTGTCAGGCGCTTTGGGGGAAATATAGATGATTTCCATGTTGCTTGGCCTTCAAGGATTTTAGGCAAGATGAAAATATACCAAAAGCTGTAACGGCAATCCTGTGTACCAGAGTTAAAACTCACACATTCCTTCTCGGCTGCAATGTCAACAAATGCTGTTTGGATGTGCTAAGAGCTCTTGAGGATGACAGCAACACTCAGTAAAATAAATAAGCTATGTGACTAAGGCCAGAAGTGTCACATTGCTGTTTCTTTCCTCATCAGTCTTTTCTGATGATGTGTATGCCATGGGTCTCAAATGCAAAGGCCTACAGGGACCGGAAGGAAATATAAATGAAAAAAGAGAATCAAATGCAAGACACTTGGGAGAGATGGGGACTGTGGCAAACTGGAGCCCACACGCCTTGACCAAATTGGTCTGCCACTACTCAGCTCCAGCTAATTGTTGTCATGCAGGAATGTGACAGTAGCCTTCTAATTTCAAGAGAAGCCAAAAATCTGGATTTTTATGTGAAATTGCTTCATTTAAAAATATTGGCAATGACTTCAAGTATTTTTAAACTCCAAAGAGGAAAAAGACAATTCATTTTGTTTTTAACTGGATTTGGTCATTTAGCTAACAATTTGCTGCCTCTAATACCCATAACACCTAGTATCTGGATATTTTGAGATCAATGCTATTTTTTACATCATTGTTTATTTTTTTACATCATTGTTTGTTTTTTAACCTTGAGTTATTTGCATATATCCAAAAAGATGAAGAGAAAGTGTTGGGATAAAATGCAGATTTCTGGCATCTACCATCAGACAACAGGTTCAGTGTCTGCTATTTGCTGAGTTCCATATAATATGTTTTGTTATATTAAAATAACAAAATGCCACAGCCTCTCTTCTGGAGTGCCTGTGGCATTTGGAGAACAAGAAAACAGGCACATAGGACACATGTTTACATGGGAACATTTAGGAACTAAACGTGATCAGCTAATAGAAAGGTATAAACAGTAGAAGCCAATTTGTATGGAATTCTCTCATCAGATTAAAAAGTATATACAAAGCACTTCCTATGTGTAAATCCTGGGATAAGTGATTTCTTTCTTTTTAAAAAATCATGTGTTTCAGGAACACAGGATACATAGTAACCATATAACAGTAATGTGCCTACCATCCTGCTTACAAACTAAAACTGGATTGGCAAACTTTTTCTGCCAGATAGTAAATATTTTCAGCTTTGTGGGCCTCTGTCACAATTACTCAGAAGTTGCAGAGTGAAAGTAGCCATGGACAATACAGTAAACCAATGAGCAGGCCTGCGTTCAAAGAAAACTTTACTTAAGGACACTGAAATTTGAATTTTACATAGTTTTCACATGTCATGAAACATTATCCTTATTTTGATTTTTTTTCAACCATTTAAAAATGTGAAAGCCATTCTTAGCTCACAGCTCACACAAAAACAGATGACAGGCTGGATTTGGACGGGTCACAGTTTCTGTCAGACCCTGAACTAAAATGTTTCAAACACAGTTGAAGCCCCCAGGGTAGCCCTTCCCCAGTCGTGTCTCCTTACTATTCCCATAACCAGCCATTCTCCTGCAATTGGCGTTTATCCTTCCTATACATGCTATTATCTTTTTATTGCATGCATCTCTATCCTGAACAATATAAATATTGATTTGTGTATTTTGCACTTCACAGAAATGGTATGACACCTTGAGTGATTTTCTGCCTTTTTGCTCAGTACTTTGTTTGGCAGTCTGTTCACTGTGCTATGTGGAGTTCCAATTCCATCTTTTTCACTGCTGTATTATATTCCATTACAAGAGCATACTGCCTATATTTATTCATTCCTATGGTAGTGAATGCGCATAAAGTTGCTGCCTACTACGAACTGTCTTTTCATGCATTATCTCTTTTCATCCTCACCATGACCTTGTCAGGGAGGTACTTTGATAATCCCCATCGTCCAAATGAGAACACTTTTGACTTAGAGCAGGCTGGTAACTTCCCCAAGGTAGTGCGTGGCGACACTGGAAGTTGAATCCACAACCTTTTCACGGTGGAATCTGCATTTGTAACCACTTTGCCATCAATTGGTATACTGCGCTTTATTAGCACAATAATAATGGATCCCGACCTTGGATATTGGTGTGGCAGTCAATAAACTTAGCCTTTCTCTGAGGATAGCTCCAATCAGTGTCACACGTTGCTGGTTTTAGTTTAGTGCTTTGCAAACTGCCACGTAAGGTATTATGTGCATTTCCTAACCACAGTGGGTAAGAATTTATAACAAGTACATACTGACATAATGCAAGAGTTGAAAAAGTTTTGAGTAAAAAATGAAAATGACCCAAGAGACTTGTCCCTGTTTTTCCCTCCCCCCTCCACAACATTTTATCAAAATTGTAATTCGGAAGCTAGTGTTTTCTTTCTTGGGAGGAGCCGCAGTCATGGGCTGCGGTTTTGCTGCGCAGAGGGGCTTAAATATCAGTGATGCCTTCCGAGCCTTTCCCCATCTGGATAAGTAATGCCCTGTAACACCATGTCTGTTTTTCACTCTCAACTGCAGTCAGCTCCAACTCCTTCCCATGCCCAAATACCAGCTCTCCCTCTCTACCTGTTACTCCCTCCCTCTACTGGGAAGTCTCCCTGGCTCACCCCGCTCCTTCAGATGACATTTAAGAGACCAAAATATAATTTTTCTAATGGCAAAATACAGTAGGAAGGAGGGGAAAGTTTTAATCAAGTGGGCGTATTCTCCAGAGGGGACCAAGTACTTCATTTTAATTCCTCATTTCCCTTTGATGAAAAGTTTAGTGAATTTTTATTATGTAAAATTTATAAGACGACTGGGTTTAGGTAATCAGCTTTAATATTTATACTCTTAGGAAAAGAAATAGGAATCATTAGTAAGCATGCATAATTAATGAATAAATTACATTTCCCTTTGTTTTCTTCCAGGTACAAGGAAATGCTAGAACTAGTGATCTCACCCAGCCTTACAGTAAACAGCGCTTGTCCGGGTAAACTGAAGCTTAACCGTGCTGACGCCGATGTCTGGACTCTGAGTGACATAGAAGGTAGGCCTCCTGGCGCGAGTTTTGCTGGACTGGTGGTGGTCTCCCCTCACCCTGCAGATATAGTAAGGGACTGACAACAGCCTTAGACAAGCATCCTTTCGAAAGTACTGTCGTTATGACAATTTCTCCTCCCGCCATTTAAATTGTTGCCTCTGGACCAAAACTTTGGCATACGCTGCTGACGATTTTGTCTAGTCATTCAAGGTGAAAGTGTGTTCGTTCGTTCGTGTTCTGAACTTCCTGTCTCGGTTTCCAGTTCCAAGCAAGAACTGCTGACACCTCCACAGATGACAGTCAGTTTCGGGTGTGTTCCAGGCAGGGCCCAGGGTACGTCCCGCAGGGTCATGGTCGTGAGCTGTGAGTTCCGTACCTCAGCGCTCTCCTGCCATCTCGGCATCCAAGCAGGCGCCTTGTTTACAAGGATTTGACGCTGGGACAAGAACTCGTCTGCCTTTTGCTTTCAGGTCAGGTTGAAGTCAAGGAAGCAGAGGAGAGTTAAGCTGTTTTAAAAATTATTGGCAAATGATGCAGCCAGACTAGTTTTCACTAGAACAATTCCAGCTATTGTCTGCTTGTTTGGGATCTGTCAGCCTTCCTGGCAGAGCTGGAGTTAACAAAAGGCATTAAGCTATTATGTTTAACCATTGGGCTTTAACCCTTTATTAGACCAGCTTCGGGATTTGCTCCTGGTGTTCTGGTCTGACCCGCTGTCTCTCCTTCATGGTCTGTGTTTGATACCAGCTCATGGGGCACAAATGCTATACAACTGTCACGGAAAACCAAAGAAATGTGTGTCTAGTCAAATATAACATTACACGTAATTTGCTTTTAAGTAACTCCGGGCTTCTGGAAGTAATTATTGATGTCACCAAGACAATGACATTTTCTTTACATGCTGGTAGCGAAGCCGGAACAAGCCTGCTTCAAGTGCCACCAAGAGAGGCTGGGCTTTCATGCCCAAACCGCGTGGTAGAGAACACACCCTCATTCTTCCTGGCTCTTTGAAGCATCCGTGTAAACCACCCTTGGCTTTCTGAGAATTTGAAAAAATTTCTTGAGTCTTGCTCAAAGCCAGTCACCTTTTCTTTCTGATAGAGGCACAAGTCACTTTAAGACCACCTTCATTTCAGACCAGGAGAGGTAGGAAGAGGCAAAGACCACCGAGCGAGGAAGGTTCAAGTCTGATTCCCAGCTCCACTGTCAGCCATCCCGATGATCTTGGGCAAATCAGTGAACTCTAGGCCTCAACTTTCTCACCTGTCAAATGGGACGTAATCATGACCCACTTCACAGGGTGCTTATTGCAAAGTCTAAATAAGGTGAAGTTATGTAAAGTGCCTGGCACCCTTGAGGGCATAGTACAATAGTTAAACTTATTATTCCACTGTCATTCTCCTCTGAATCAGATAACCACAGTGAATTCAAAACCACAGTTGCAAACAGGCAGCTCACAGCCAAGTCTGACCCTCAGGTATGCCTTTGTTTGGTTTACACCGTGTTTTTAAATAAAGGTGAACTTGTGAGAATGGGGACAGCTCAGATAAAAATCTGGATTTCCAGTTTCTCTTGAAATGCTGAGTGCTTTAGAAACACTGGGCCCGCATTTCTGCCTGGCTGCCACTAGTGGGAGCTAGGGGGCAGCTGTCCCTTAGATGAGTCCCGGCCTTTTGTCTTGAATTTTTATGAGCACATACTTTGTGCCAGGTGCTGTTCAGGACAATGCAAATCTGGATTAATTCTCCTCCGCTTCCACCACCATTAGAGCGAACACTTGACATTTGCAATGTGCCAGGCATTAATGTATTAACTCATTCGATCCCCACAACTCTAAGAAGGGATACTGTTATTAACTTCATTTTACAGATGAGGACGCTGAGGCACAGAGAGGTTAAGTAGCTTGATTGAGATGGCACAGTAAAGTGACAGCTAAAATTTGAACCTGGATAGTCTGACTCCAAAGTCTGTTCTCCCAATCAGTGCATTGTACTGTTTTTCATATAATTATTATACCTCTGTTAAGCTATGAGCCCATTTTATAGGTGTGGAAGTTGAGGGATGGGGGAGTTAAGTAACCAGCTTAAAGTCGCACAGCCAGTGACAGGGCCAGGAATAAAACTCAGGCACTCTGGCTCCAGAGTCCCCACTTCTAAACTCAGTGATCACTTTCTGCCAAGCTCTTGAGTCTCCAGACCCCAGATGTCCACCCCCCACAGTAGTGGCACCCGCAAACACACCGTCTCTCTCCTCATTGTGCCTTGGAGCTGTCGGTGCCCTCTCCACCGCCCTGGAGGGAGCTGCCTGCCGAGGCAAAGGCTTTGGAGTGGCAGTGATGGGGCAGAGAGAGGTGGCTCTCAAGTTCCAAGTAGGCAGGGCCGGAGGGGTCAGGTTACACACACACACTTTTCTTCTCTTGACGTGGGAGTGAGCACTGGGAATCTGTGGGGGACATTCCACCCTAGCTGTGGCCTCAAGTGCTAGACCAGCTGCTCTTCCTGCCTGGCCCCCTGGTCTCCTTCCTTTGGGCCCTTTCTTCTGTCATAGAGGAGGACCTCAGGGAGGCACAAGCCACAGAGCCCACACTCCGGGGGCCTGTGCAGGCACAGGGACCTACGAAGCCCCCCAGCAACACGAGCGTTCCGGCTCTGCCTCTTACCAGTGGTGGGACCCTGGGCTGGTGGCCTAACCTCTTTGGCGTTCATTTGTCTCATCTGTTAAATGAGAATGAGTTTTCCACCAGCCTCAAAGAGTTGATGTGCGAATGAAATGAGTTAAACTTGGAGCGGATTTAATGTTTAAGAAAGTACAGAATAAGATCTACATTCCTTCCCCCTGGCCCTCAGGCTCTACTTGTCTGTCCCCGGCAACTTCTCACTCATGTCATCTCCCATTCCCTCTGTTCACTGGGCCTAGCCCCGGGCCTGTTTCCTTTGCTGTAACTCACAAGCTCGATTCTGCCCTCAGACCCTTTACACTTGCTGCGCACTCTGCCTGGACCAGTCTCCCCCGTCCCTGCGGGACCATCCCCTCATCCTGCAGTTCTCATCAGAGAGACCTTTCTCATCGAAAGTAACTGTTCATTTTCTCACTCATTCAACAGACGTTTTTCAGCCAGATGTCCAGCATGGTTCTAAGTACTAGGAAGACAACACAGAACCCCTGTTCTCCTAGGGTACAGAGCAGGGGGCTGACAATAATAATAAATCGGCAAAATGTATTGCATGTTGAATGGTGATGCTACGAAAAAAAATCAGGGAAGGGTACGAAATGCAGGGATATGGGTTGCAGTTTTCATTAGGGTGGCTAGAAAGATGTCGCTGGGAAGGTAACACTTGAGTAAAGGCTGAAGGAAATGAGGAGGGCACTCCATGGTGACATGGAAGAAGAGCCTGATGAGCAGAGGAAGCAGCAAGCACAAAGGCCCTGAGGCAGAGTGTTCCCAGAGCACTTGGGGAGCAAGAAGGAGGCCTGCGTGGCTGAAGACCAGTGAACAGCGGGGCGATGGGGGAGATGAGGTCGGAGAGATGACCAGGCACAGAGCATGCGGGGCTTTGCGAGCCATTAGGACTTTGGCTTCTACCCTGAGTGAGGTGGGAGCCACAAGAGGATTTGGAGCAGATGAGGGCTGATCTGATTTATATATTGACAGGATTCTCAGGCTGCATGTGAGAACGGGCAAGGAGTGGGGACAGAATAGGAGCCCAGAGACCAGAGAGGAAGGCATCACAATAACCCAGTGAACGGTGACGGTGGCTTGGATGGAGTGGTAGCAGTGGAGTCGTGAGAACGGGTCAGACTCTGGGCCAGTTTTGAGGGGACAGCCCCCAGAACACTCAGCCACACTGTTCCATGTCCTGTTTTGTTTTCTTCATATTCCTACTTTCCATCAGAAGTTGTTTGTTTCTCGTTCCCAGTCTCTCTCCCCGAGAATGTGAGTTCTCGGAGGGCAGACCTTGCCCCCTTTAGTTGCCTCTGTATCCCCTCTGCTGAGAACGAAGTATGATACTTAGCAGGTGCTTAAAAGTGCTTGTCGAATGAATGGATGCAGAAAGACAAAGCGCTCCGCGAGACCGTGAGACTGTAGGACCGACTGTTTGGACGAGCGCGGCCCGGGGGGAAGCCCGTGGGCTCTCACGCCTCCCAGCTGCACCCTCTGCCCGGCAGCCCTTCCTGTCCTCAATTCCCAGTCAGCAGGTAATACACAGATACACGATCCTTGTAAAAACTTGAACTGTTGGGCCAAACTTCCCCTTGCCACACCCAGTCTTAAGTCTTTTCCTCCCGTCCCCAGAGGTAACCACTGTTATCGGATTTGGTGCGTGTGATTTAAGGCCTTTCTCTATGTGATTGCATGTGTATAAATGTATATTTATATAATTTCTATATGTTTCTATAACTATATTTACCGTAGAAATATTGTTTTGCCGGAAAAAATGGGAAACACAAAGTTATCATACTATATATTTTTTCTAGAATTTTCTTTGTCCACTCGAGATACATTAAGTAATCATCTACCTCTTAAAAAAAGAAAAAAAAAACTTCATAGTATACCAAGAGTGACCCGCCCCAGTTCATTTAGGCACTCCCCTGCAGATGAACACTGGGGTTATTCCTAAGTTTTTTGCTCTTATAAGCAGTGCTGCCGGGGGCATTGTCATGCGAGCTGCTATCTGAACAAGTGCACCGTTTCAGGGAAGATGCCGAGAGGTGGGCTGCAGCCTCGTACGGTCCCCTTCCCCTTCCTTTCTGCCTTACAGACTCTGCTTTACCCAGCGTCGCCTCTGCCTTCCTATGAAGCCTCCCAAGCCTCTCTGCAGAGAGACTTGCTAGTTTCTCTTTTCATTCCTTCGTTTCTCCAGTCACGTGGTCAACAAATTGTTTGATGTGCCTGTCGTGTAAGAGGCGGATGGGCTCAGCCAGGGCATGTGTCTATCCCAGCCCTGTCCTCAGCTCATCGTGTGAACCTGGGCAAATTCCTACTCATCTCTGAGCCTCGGTCTCCT